CATGGTGAAGGAAGTTTGGAGCTTAGAAGAAGAACGAGGAGGTTGAAGAGTGCAAGGAGGGGAAGTACATCTGAAATCTACACTGTGAGAAGCTTCCATTCAGTTAGAAAAGTTCCAACCTTGATCACTAGTTCATTAGGTCCCCTTTTGTCCCTAATTGATGGTTTTCAAGCCCTAAAACCTCAAACTCCATGTAGTTATGCTCTATGTTCTGAAAGGACTTTAGATCTGGACCTTATGGACACCTTAGAAGTGTAAAGTCTCTGTGGTTGAAGTGATTGAGGTCCTTATTGAGCGTATAACCTCATAAAGAGCTTTGAATTGCCTTTTGCAGCTCATAGGGCCATGCATGCACGTAAAGTTTGCAACTTTACATGATAAGCATACCCTAGGAGCTTAAATCTATGGTTTGGAACCGTTTCATGTCTCAGATTTGGTCTGTATGGGAGAAGGGTTGTAGGGACTCGACGAGTTCTATGAAGATGGTCTTAGAATCGATGAGTTGGATGAACAACTCGGCGAGTTCTTTGAAGATTACATGGAACTCGATGAGTTATTCTTCAAACTCGACGAGTCATATGAACTGTTACTGAGTTAAGATGGGTTTAAGTGTAGAAGCCCAACCCTTCGTAGCTGCATGCGGGATGAGCAATTTAACGTGTAGCAATAGTCCTATAAACCCTAAATCCTCAAGAAGGATGCTCTGGTGAGGATTTGGAAGCGAGTAGGAGAGGGACTCGGCGAGTCTATGCCATGACTCGGCGAGTCCAGTCAACTGGAAGTTAACTTTAACCAAGGAGTTGACCTTTGAACAGGGGTAGGTCAGTCATTTGACCTAAAGGTATTTAGGAGTGACTAATCTATATTTATGGATTTATAGTAGGAGGATTGCTGGTGCAACAGTCAGTCGTCTAGCAAGCAAACTTTCAGAAGCTACTTTTCGAGGTGAGTTACCTTCCAGTAGCGGTGGGTCTACGGCCACAATGTCGGTCCACCAATAGGAGTTGTATGTTAGATGATTGTTTTTGTGATATCATCTTGGTTTGTTAATACCTGATATGTTATATGTTGGCATGATATGTTATATGTGATAGTATTAGAGTTCGGTTGTTAGGACTGAAGGGTAGGTCAGGCATCCCAGATATGTCTGATAGTATGTGATGGTATGTTTGTATGTTGGCATGATATGTTATATGTGATAGGGGTAGTAGGAGGGGAATAGTCCCCAAGTGTGGTTCTTAGGACCGACGGGTAGGTCAGCATCCCAGAATAGCCTGACATGGGTAGGTCAGCACCCCAAAATGGCTTGACACGGCTAGCACGACACCCCAGAATGGCCGCATGGGTAGGTCGGCACCCCAGAATGGCCGTACCGGGTAGGTCGGGCACCCTAGAATTGCCCGACAGTATGTATGCTATATGATTGTATGGTATGTGGTACGATGGGGGGAACTCATTAAGCTTTGTGTTTACAGTTTGCAGTTTTGGTTTCATGTACCTCTTCAGCGAAGGGGAAGGAGCTGGCGCGGTAGCGGCACATCATACACACACTCCCGTTTTTCTGCATCATGAGATATTCTAGGATTTGTACTCTGACATTATTATGACTTATGTTTTGGGTTTTCAGACGTGAAATATGTTTTAAGAAATGATATGGTTGAATGTTGTTTATTTTCAAAGGTTTTACAAAGTGTTTAATTGAAAATGAAAATTTTGGACTTGAAAAATTGGGTCGTTACAAAGTGACTTGAGGAAATCACATACTATAGCATATGGTAGCTTGAAGTGTTGATACGTCTCAATCTTTATACTAAATACTCTCATAATGAATAATATTTCTTCTAGGCCCATGTTGACAAAGTCTGCTTGGTATGAACATACTCTACACGATTTCTCATAAAAGTGTTTTGGTAGAATGTATATTTCATCAAAGATCTTTTCTTATAGGTCTTCACATGATGAGGTCTCTCACTTTACCAAATCTCGTTTATGTCTTGTCCATGTTTGTTTTGGTATTTGTACAGACGTTTAAACTCTAGAGGTAGTCTTTGGTCCATGGGAAGAGTGAGACGTGGGACATAACCTTCATCATAGAACACTCTGGACAACTTTATGTTGGGAGAAATAGGGATGTCGTAGTAGGTGTTGTCATTCAGAGTTATGTAGGTAAGATGCGGGACATAATCTTCACCAACCAGTCAATGAATTGGAGTCACCCATGATTGAATAAGGGTTTCATCCATGTTGATGTCATGCCTAGACTATTGAAAGATCTCCTCTTGAAGCTTCACAACACTCCAGTCTCTCTTCTTTTGTTTGGTTGCGGGGGATTTTTCTTCTTTGTAAAAGAGTAGAAGATTTTTTCATCATTAGATATGGTTTTGATAGGGGAAGAATGGAGAGCTTCACTTGTTTTTTGTGGGGAACTAGGTGGAGTTTTTCCATTAGTTCCTTAGAGTGGACAAGAGATGTCTTCACGTAAGATGGTTTTATCTACGGTGGAGGAACTGGAGTTTCAAGCTCAATATTTTCTTCGACTTCAACTTCATTCTCTGTAGACTTCCCCCTTTTTGAGGAAGAAGGCGCCACCTTCTCCTCAAATTGACAATATTTTAATTCTTTGAGAAGCTTCATCACCTTCACAAATGAGATTTATGTCTTGGCATTGACTTGAGTGGTTGGGAGAAGATTTGGATCAATTAATATGGTTAATGATGTCCTCTGGTAACTTGAATATCTTTTGAAGGGTATAACAAGGAACACTCATTAATGGAGCTGCTTTGGTCACCATTTTAGTAAGTACCTACAAAAGAAGATTGTTTGATTTCTTCAAGTCGTTGATTTCTTTGCCGAGTTCTGTGTAGGTCGTGTCATAGCCACGATGACATTTAGTTATCAAATCACCCATTTCCTTTGAGAATACCTTCATATTATAATCTATCTGCTTTCATACAACCCTCATTTGCTGAACCATATTATTACCTCTTTTCATCATTACCTCTTGATCTTTCATTCGTGATTCATCTAACTCTTTCATGCCTTTTTTGATGTAAATAAGTACTGGTTAATCCACTGGATTCTTTCTATCTTCAAACCTTGATACCCGATCAACTAGCTAATTAAATTCGAAGGAAATAAGAAAATGCTCCTTTGGTGGTGATTGAATGGATACTACACCAAAGATCTTGTCGACTTTCTCATTTAGGGCATTGAATTATGAACTTAACACAAAAGGCTTGGGTTTCTTTTTCTTTGGGGAAGATGGAGGATATTGGTTCAGTTGGTGGAATGATGTGAAACACTGACTCATATGATAAATACATGTGTACATCGTTTAACCGTTAATCATTATACTCGCTCACATCAAAGCCAAAGATTGGTTCTTCAATTATCTTCACTTATTCGCCATTTGAACATTCGTTACTTGATTCATTGACATCTCCGACCTTTGTGGTGTTTCCTTCGTTTTCTCTTTTCATCATATTTTCATCATTTTTATCCATTCATATGCCTTCTGAATGTTATGGAAGGTATGTGCTTTGAGAATGATGTATGCGAGGTAATGAGCTATCATGTGTTCAAATTGCTTAGACTCTACGATCATTTATTTGACGGATGCAAATTTAGCTTTTATTTCTCATAAAGATTTCTTGAACTTTTCAACCTCCATAAACTCCTCTAGAGTCTTGGGTTTGTAGTTTGACCAACTATCACCTAAAAGAGTTATACTACTGGTAACCATCGGGGTATCCCCTGGTTCACAAATCCTTGCAACGAAGTACTCCATGTGCCTAAATCACATGTCTGTAATGTAGACGAAGCAATATTTACAAGACTTCCTTGGTCTAAAACCAAGTTTGGCCTTAGACTTGTTCTGGAAAAGGTCTCTGAAAAAGGACCTTATGGTGCATTGAGTGTTTGTGATTGAAAGAAAGAGGACAGAGCCACAAGGGAAACAAATTTGGGTGTGATTTATCCTGGAGACCTTAGGAGTTTTATCGACATCAAGGTTCGTTTTGAACCTTGATTGGGCTTCGTCTCTATCTTTCGGTGAAACACGTACACTTTTTGCACGTGAGTGGCCAGTTGGTGTTCTTTCAGATGATCCAAGATCCATTGCCCTCCACAACTTTTTGAGAAGCTCCGATACCTAGTATAGGTTGCTTTTTGGCTGAGTAGGATGAGAACTTTGATAAAATTGATGTCCATTATTACAATTATTACATATTATTATTATGTAGAATTTAATAAAATGGAGAAAACAATAAAATACAATGAAAAAAATAACCACATAATTAATGAGAGTGTCACAACAAATATTTATTTATTTATTTATTTATTTGAACAGATAATCAAATAAACTGTTTTTTGTATTTGTTGGAAATTAAAACACGTTTGGAAATCGTCTTGTCGTGGGGTGACTAGTGAGAAATGGTTGATTACCTATATGAAGATTCAAAGCTTCCTTTTGGATAGCTATAATGAATAAAAAAATAAAATATTAACAATAAATAAAAATTTGAATTGTTATATATTACATGTTAGCATGTTGAATACATGGCCCGATGACATGGCAACAATGAGAAATATAATTCAATGCCATATATTAAAAAAAGTAAAATATTCGTTTTTTTCTACAATATCCTTCAATTAATGGTGTATATGAATCATCCAGCCAGTCTGTTTTGATCCATCGAACCGTGGTGCTTTACTAGTCTTAAATGACAATATTTAAAGAAAGGTCTTTGTTGCATTGATATGGCCTTTTCCAAAATTTAATGAAAATGTCTATTTGGTGAGCTGGGAAGCCTTTTACACGGTGTTATATAGGATTTATGGTAGGCACGATGTTTGAAAATGGCATTTTATATAGTCGCTGCTTAGTGTATAGATAAGTTCCAAATTATTATACATAGCGTTGAAAAAAATATTAATGATATGTGGCCAGCTGGCCAAATAAATACAATATTAATTATTTGTGCATTGTATATTTGCACATTGCGATTTACAACTCTTTTGATGTTTGGAACAATATACTGAATATAGTAGGTACCCATGTGGTGACAAAGTCTTATAAAATAATCGGTTATGCCTATTTAAATTGCGTTCACTCTCAGTTACGCACATCTCCATCTCTAAATCATATCATCATAGAGAACAAAAATGGCAAAATTTTCTGTTCTTTTCGTGGCAACAATGTGCCTTGCTAGTCTCTTAGTAGCATCTGCAGATTGGAATATTTTGAATCAAAAAACCAAATCCGGCCTCAAAATCTCTCTAAGAAACTACTGCGAGAGTTGGAGAATAAATGTTGAGTTAAACAACATTCGTGAATTTTCAGTAGTTCCATCTGAGTGTACAGATTACATTGGAAAGTACATGAGTGGGACTCAGTTCAAGGCCGACTCTGAGGCTACGATAGAAGAATGCACACTCTACCTCAACACCCATTGTGATATAAAGAAAGATGGCAAGGACGCTTGGATATTTGACATTGATGACACTCTTTTGTCAACTGTGCCTTTCTACAAGAAACATGGAAACGGGTAAGTGTTAAATCTTGTTACTATTAACAAATCTTGCGACTTGGCATACAATTATGATTTTTTTTTTTTTTTAAATATATATTAGGGGGGAGAAGTTGAATGCAACGGATCTTGAAGGGTGGATGGCTCAAGGCAAGGCTACGGCGATTGATTATAGTTTGAACTTTTTTAATGATATTAAGAGAAGAGGAATGCAAATCATTTTGATTTCTTCAAGGAAAGAGTATCTTAGAGATGCTACTATTGACAACCTTGTTGATGCTGGTTTCCATGGTTGGAAGAGTCTTTACCTAAGGTGTGCAATGCGTTCTTTCCCTTCTTGTTTCAACTCCAATATGTATGGGGACATATTGTGGATTTTTATTTGGATCTCACATGATGCTTTAGGACATATATAGTGGTTTGGACCACATTAGAGTTGTTGGAAGAATAATTTTTTTTTGCAGACAAAATTATGAGAGCTTTAATTCAAATATGAATTGATCTCCTTATGGCAACGACTTTTATAATACCAACATCTAGTGGGTCAGTACTATATACTAGATTAACGTCTTACATGATATTTTAGAGGTTGTTGGTAGAGTAATCCTTTTATAGGAACAATGAGTCCTTTCTCCTCAGGAAGGGGTAACACAGTTTGCTTCTAGGATGATGTACTTTGCTTAGAAGTTGTTGGAAGAATATAACATGTTTTTGAAAAGTGGCTGACTTTATATTTTGTTTTATTCAATTAGGGGTCCAGAAGACGAATGTAAGAAGGTTGAGGAATTCAAGGGCGATGTAAGGAAAGAGTTGGTGAAAAATGGTTATCGTATATGGGGGATATTGGGAGACCAGTGGAGTAGTATCAAAGGAGTAGAAACCGGTAGAAGGCCCTTCAAGCTCCCCAATTCTCTTTACTATGTTTCTTGAAATCAAATCAAATGCCTCCTGCAACATGCAATTTTTAGTTTCATTTTTCTCACATCTTACCATTGTCAAAAGTGAAATAGTGTCGTCTTCATTCCAAATTGGGTCTTGTTTGTATGGCCATGTAAACTAAGCTAAATGCATTTTTTTTTTGTGTGTGTGGATCTCCATTTATTTTTTTAACCAACCCCTTTGTGATATTTGGAGTGAAAATGTCTTTATTAGACGTGATAAAATGTAAGGCCGGATAACGACTTAAATCGGGTACCAGTTCTATTGACTGGAACCACTTTTATCTAGTGTTATACCATATCTATTGAATTATTAAAATAACGTGTACCTTACTTAATCCATCTTTCATATAGAGGAAAGGTCTTTTTTTTTGCTAGCCTCTCAAGTAGAGAAAATAAAACAATATAAAAAATACAGAAGAAATGATAATTGTTGTCTTTTGGTTTAGATCAAAGAATCTTTTGACTTTCTACTTCTAGAGTTGTAATATGGTTTCGTGGTTTGGTGTCATTTACAATCTTAGGGCATCCACAATGCATTGAACTCAATAGAGTTTAATGGATTATCACATTATCATTTTACAATCCATACAACTATATAATATATTTTTTACAATGCATTGAACTGTACAAAATTCCATAGAATGTTACAAAATGCAATTTATAGTAAATATTTAATAATTAAAGCTTTTATTTTTTCCATTGAAGAGTTTAATGGCTATTGAACTCTAAATCCATTGAATGACAAGTAACATTTCACAATGGTTGAGTTTCATCAATTGAATGACACATGGACTTGCCGCCTCATTCAACTTTTTCATTAAACTTACCATTTGTGGATGCTCTTATATGCTAAGGATGGAAAAAGGATTAAAGAATCCCTCTCTTATAAGACCATGACAATCATAGTTAAAATCCATTCGAGTATTTGTTGATCTCTTGTTTATAAAAATATGGCGGCTTACATGCTAGCTCAAATGTTGATCACAAATTCGAGTATATGATGATCTCAAATGCTTATCTGCTAGCACAGAAAACACAGATTTCCAAGAGCATCATGTTCATTACCACATTAAATAAAACCCAAGTGTTAATGTAAAAATTAACAACCGAAAGCAGATAATGATAAACCATGATTCTGCTCGGATACATTCTTATTACATTAAATAAAGCCCAAGTGTTAATGTAAAAATTAACAACCGAAAGCAGATAATGATAAACCATGATTCTGTTCGGATACATTCTTATTACATTATGGAATTAAGTGCAAGAAATAGCACCATATAACTACAACATTGTCCTTTAATATATTTAGTTTTTTGCAAATTAAAGTAATATAATCTATAATTTCAAAAAAATTAGAAAAAAATCGTCCAAGATTTCAGGGATCAATTTCGTCCTTTTTCCCCAATAAACCTTGATATCCCTGCTCAAGCTTTATGACCAACTCCGGTGTGTTCATGTGATTCAATGCTTGCCTATAATTTTCATAGTTTGTAAAAAAACTATTACCATCAGTAAAATTCGCATTATTCAACATTATAATTGTATGGGAATACATAGAAACAGTCAAATAATGCCTGTTTTAATTTCATGTGCCTATAATACAAAAGCGACAAAGACCTATTAGCCTGGTACCAAATCATATTAAGTTTTAACGCCTTGGACTTTCAAGTATAAGACATATGTGTTCATTACTATTATCAATTGAACAAATGCATACGTTAGTATATCAATAACCAAATAACAGAACACTATTGCATAATTGTAATTTGGAACAATGTTTTTGCCAATAAAGACACAAAAAAAAAAAAAAAAAAAAAAAAAAAAAAATTTATTTGGGATGGAAAGAATGTTTGGTCACATTTACATTCGACCAGAGGTTGTAGATTAATTTTTATCCTTATCATACCTCAAGAAACGCCTTCCTGGTTTATTTTAGTAAAGAAAAACTTGATAAAACAGATAAAGAATGAGATATAACTAATTAACCTACCTGTTGTCTACTTGGTTTAGAACATTGAAAAACTTTCATCTGTAATATTTTTTCTTTTTGGAAACAGCCGACCATACATTAAAAAGAAAAAACTCTAGCAAGAAGCTAGAGAACAAAACAAAAAATATATGTAAATTGTTTAAAGGGATTTGTATCCAGCAATTCCACGAAAAACATTTATTCTAAATCTATTACTAACCCGAAGAAAAATAAAATTCTCTAATAGCATCCAAAATAATATATTTTCTTATCTTTCCCGCCTTCAAAAACTTGATCATTCAGATAAATAAAAGACACTTTGCTGGTCTACACCGTACAATATGAGCAAAATCCACTACCTCCTCCCACCTAACTCAAATGCTAAAGATGTGTGATTTTTTTAAACTTATTTTCATCCCAGAAACAAGAAGAAATCATTGAAGGATATTCACCATGTTAATCATATTACTTTTATCCCAATCATCAAGAATTAGGATGACATCAACATAAAAATGAGAAATATTGAAATTGCTTGTATCAATATTAACCCCTTGAAACAAACTTTCTCTAATTGCATCTTCTATAACAACATGCAATCCGTTCATTACAAAATGAAAACAAAAAGGAGAAATAGGATCTCCTAGCCTTAGAACTCTTTGAAGATAGAACACATCAGAAGGGCTTCCATTTAATCACTTAAGCTCTCGTCGAAATCAAACATGAATGTATCCAATACTACAAAAAATGTCATTTAGTGGCCCACAAAAAGTAACACTAAAAACCCAGAATAATGACGCTCAAGGTTTCTCATAGAATCAACGACACATATAATAAGTGTCACTAGAAACGCTCCCGCTAAAACCCTTTAGTGTCACTTTTTGTTTTTGTTGTTGTAGTTGTAGTTTGTAGGCTTTTAGTGACACTTTTATATTTGTGACGATAGATGAAAAAACTATTGTAGCAAATATTATATGCCATTAAATGCTCATTTTATTCAAGAATTGATGCTACTTTTAGTTACATATTTTAAAACTTTAGTGACACCTTTTAATCGCCACAATACAAAAACAAAATATTGTTTTTGGCACATTTTGCGTCGATAAATACTCATAAGATTCTAAAATTTAGCCTACTTATATATATCTAACTTTTTATCCATAATATGAAATTAAATACATAATTAAATTGTAGCATGTAGAAAATAATAAAAATTCCATTGCTTGTCATCAATATTTTTTAAAGTTTTTAAATCAAATACCTAAGTAATTGTCAAATACATCTAAATGTGGAACCAAGTAAGATCTAAACATGAAATAACAAACAAAAGTAAAAAAAATGTTAGGTTGAATAAATCTTGTTATCTCATACTCTATAATCAAAACTAGCAAATCCCTATAAAAAAAACATACACAGACAATTCACAATACAATTAAATGAGACATAGTACATAAAACAAATATGGTTGCCATTTTAATTATATATATCTGAAGTATCTGATTACTCCTAATAAATCCCCAATAGCAGCCTTACTAACTTCCATCGATTCAGAATTGAGCAGAAAATAAACATTTAGATTAAGGGTATTTATGTATTAAACAACAATAATCAAAAGGGCAATAAAGAACATAAGCCTCTATAATTTCTTACATATTAAAGCACAATGATCCTAATTTCATCGCTAACATAATAGTTAAATAAATCAACTAAAGGAAATAGATCATTTAGCTCAAATATAGACAAAAATAAATCTGAAATTTAATCCAATTGAGACAAAGTCCACTATTAATAGTCTAAAATCAAAAAGATTATATGAAACAATTATCATCTATGTTTGCAATTTGAACAAATATTTATACCTCACAAGTAGATCATATGAAATCATGTTTTACAAAAAACAAAAAAGGTTGGAAAAGGACTTACCCTAATATCTAGGTGGGTGAGTATAAATTCCCTTAGAGATGGATCAAGAGTAAATCCATTCACATCTGATCAAGTGCTTAATAGAAGATGAAAAATGAAAATGCATGTATTTATCAATGAGTATATATTAGACAGCAAAACATTTGTTGAATTTGAAAAGCCAACAAGAATTAGACCACGTTTATTCCACAAAAAACAGTTAAAAAAATAATTTGTGTAATCAATATTTCTCATCATGCAAGAGCTACCATACATGTAATATCTAAAAACTAATATATTTTTTTCCATGTTGCAATAGATCTTCTAAACATGCCTCACCTCCATCCGTTATCATATAAATCCCATAAATATAGAAAGGCGTTCAGCTTATCATGCTGCAAAATCAAGTTATCTTGAAGAAATTTGGATATATGTAAGCAAATTTGAAAAAAAAAACTATTAATAGTTTTAATGGGGTATCATACACTTCCTATGAAAACAACATAGTCAATGTTGGAAAATCCATCCAATGGATCGAAAACAACAAAATACCTAAATCACTCGCACATAATTTACTAAAGTAAATAAACTTATAGGGTAACTAATGAGATTGTGATTAAAAGATTAAGAGAATGAATTTGAATTTTTCCTTACCTTCCAAGTTTCGATGGTTCCACAATGATTGCATCTTCATCTTCTTCAGAAACGAGTATGCACTGAAGAAGAGTGATTCCACTAGATTAAATAGTAACAATATAAACTTGTATTTGAATGTTTACAAACACTCACTATTCTACCACTGCTGACCCAAGTTTTCACAATAACTTCATTTGACAGTACATCCAGTTTCTTCTACTCTTCTCCCTAAAATTAACCAAAACAAGCACATAAAGTTGTAAGAACACAATCAAAGAAGTTTGCATCGGTTAATGGTGAAAAGATGATATGTGTTCTTTGTTAACATTCCTGTACATTCGTCCCCCAGCAAGTCTGATGAGTTTTTCCAAACTCGCCTGCACAAGCAAATTTCACACCATAAGAACAACTTTCTTAAATTATTTTGACACCATTTTTTGGCAATTATGATTCATATATGACACATTTAGCTAGTATAAATTTTTTGATCGAAAAAATAATTTTCTTTGAGGAGAGAAATCATCTTTTGCTCATAAACATTTCCAGTTTCAATAGCTTTGGAATGAGACATAGATTCCTTTTCAATGATGTTATCTTCTTTAGCCCCTAACATATCCAAAAGCTCCGTAAGGGTAATATTGAGGTTCTTCATGTGAAAATTGGTTACAAACTGTTATTAAGAATCTGGGAGCGAAATAAAAATTAAATCTATAACATACTCCACATGAATTTCACCACCCATATTGCTAATATGTTAATGTACTTTTTCACTTTATTGACAAACGCACATACATGAGTTCTTTCATCGTACTTGCGTGC